GGCTGCACTTGAAGACCTAGAGGGCCACATTCTGGGCATGGGGGAAGAGTCCTTTTTACCCTTCTGTGATTTAAATGCTTACTTTGCCTTCATAAATAGCATCAGCCACAGGTTTTTGTTAGCCTGGGTGTAAATTCAGTGGAGAGGGGCAATGGAGGGGTAGGGGGGTGGAGGGTGCTTTACTAGAATACTATCTCTGGCTGGGGGCTCACAAGTTTAAAACCAAAACAAAACAAAATGACATATAAAGTATAGGCCGAAAAATAGTTTATACTGTATTAGGAAACCCACCTAAGCCATGAGTCAATAGTAGGGTGTGGAGGACAGTCAAAACAGGCTGAATAATCCTGTTCACTGCCCTACCCCATCACTGCTACATACAAAATACAATATTTACTTATTTTTGCACACGATTATTTGCCCCCAATAGCATGTAAGTTCCTAAAGGGCAGGGATTGTTTTGTTTTTGTCTTTGTACTCTCAGTGCTTGGTAAATAGTAGGTGTTTAATAAATGCTTTTTGATTGACTTATATTACAATTTGGTGATTTCAGAAGTGACTAAAAATCAGACCCAAAGAACTGGGGTTGATGGAGTGATGGTAAGCTCTAAGAATGTCTCTATGGGATTGCATTAAACACATTCCTTTGGCCCTGGTCTCTTCAACATTTTTATCCAATGGACATGAAATAAAAGATGGCACACTCATCATATTTGTGGATGACACAAAACTTGGATGGCTAACTAAGAGGTTGGATGACCAAAAGGTTGGAATCCCAAAAGATTTCTGTGGGCTAGAAGCAGATTAGAAGGATGGGCCAGATCTAATTAATAGCATGAAATTCCATGGCATCATGCATACAATTTGGAGGCAGAATGGGCACTAGAGATCATTTAGTCCAATCTTATCATTTCATAGATGAAGAAATCAAAGCCCAGAGAAATTCAGTGCCCAAAGCTTACAGAAGTAGAAAGAAAAGCGAGAATTTGAATCAAGGCTCCATGGTTCTATATACTACATCCCATAGAGATAAATTTAAAGTCCTACATTTAGGTTCTGAAATAATTTACTCCACAAGTAGAAGATGAGCTAGATTGTAGTTAGTGTGAAAAAGAACTGAAGTTTTTAAGGGACTTCAAGCTCATTAAGAGTCAACAGTGTGACAAGGCACTCCAAATAGGTTAATGTGATTTTTTAATTTTGTTTTTTTTTTTTTGGTTCAGGTCTGGACTAGTGATTTTGTTGGTAAGATGGCTCCCTCTACCAATACAGGTCTGCAATTGCTCTGCAACTTTTCTAGACTTAGTTGCCAGGGTACACTGAATGTTTAAATTACCTGGAGTTACAAAAGTGGAAACTTGAACCCAGGCCTTCCTGACCCTTTGGCTAGCTCTCTATTACTATGCCATGCCTAGAATTCAGGATACCGTTCCCTACGTTGCTTCTGTGTTTAGTTCTGAACATCATAATTTAGGCAGGTACACACCCAGAGGGTCAGGACGGTGATTGGAGTAGAAATCTGCCTAACAAAGATTTCCAGAAGGAACTGAAGAGATTTACCCTGGAGGAGGGAAGACTTAGGAAGGCTATGATAGCGTATGATATCTGACTTCTGTCATAAGATGACTAGTTCAACTTGTTTTGCTTGACCCTGAGGGTATAACAAGGACCAATGGGTGGCAGTTACTGAGAAGCATATTTTGGCTTTTTTTTTTTTGAGAAGCATATTTTGGTTCCACGTCAGTAACCAAACAATTCCTAACAATTACAGCTGTCCAAAAGTGG